ATTTTTAGTTTGAAAACTATATTGATTAAAGCACCCTTTCAAACTAACAGCATGTTTCATTGCATTTCTTTGCCTACATGTGGCAAAGTTCTTTGACGCAGGGTAGAGCTTCTCTGTTTCCTCTGTGGATCTGTGGCACTTTCTCAATTCCCAGTTATATTCCAGGAAGAGCTTCTGCCTGCTGAGTATTCACCAAGACAGACACTGTATTGAAAGTTTTGTTCTTTTTTTTTTTCTGGGATTGAGGAAACCCTCGAGCCATTGCTTACATCCTCTCAAGTCCTCTCAATCAGATATGACAGCAATCCTGGAACATACGCACTGATACAAAAAAACAATGTCTGGCCTTAGAAAGCCTCTACAAACATGTCAGCTATTACTATTCTATTCAAGATTGATCTCTTAGAGTACAGAGTGAATATCTTATCTTGATTTTAGGACCACTTTTTACTAGAGATCTAGATGACCATGGCTGTCAATGTTGTGGTTGCTGTTTTGATTCAGTCCATACATGGTTGGTTTTAGTTACTTTGTTGAACACACCCTTCCGTTAAGAAAGCTGGGAAATGAAAAGTTTGGTTTCTGATTTCTCATTGTTACTCATGTCTTTCCTTATATTCTCAGAAGGAAAATGAATTTATTAAATTATTTATTAGGCATAGTTGAAAGGACATATCAATGGCTAATCCCCGGAGCAAGTTGGCTTATTATCTTATTAACAATTAGTAGTGACCTGCTGGCCTAAGAGGAAGCTTTCTATCTGTATTGCTGGATTTTCTCAGAAGTTAGAGATAAGACAATTGGCAGAGTTTACTCAGGGAAAAATATTAGGAATGACAAGAAACCACCTGTTATTTGAGAATAAAATATAGTCATAAAAACTGTAGTCAATGCCTAGCATTCACCAGCTTTACTTTTTTCTAATTTTTGCTTAATTTTAAAACATTATGAAGCTTATTTGAAAATATGTCTATGCTGAAATGCTTAACTACTTATCTCTAAAGTTAATATTCGTAAGTCAAGAGTAATTTCTGGGCATTAGTGACTGTGGCTTATAATCTTAGCTATTCAAGAGGCTGAGATCTGAGGATTGAGATTCAAAGCCAGCCTGGGCAGAAAAGTTCATAAGACAGTTGTCTCTAGTTAAACACTAAGAAACCAGAAGTAGAGATATGGCTCAAGTAGTAAAGCAACAAACCCAGTCAAAGCGCTCAGTAACAGCACCTAGGCTCTAAGTTCAAGACCCGGGACTGGCCCAATTTTTTTTTTTGTAGGTCTTGGAGCCTGAACTCTGGGCCTAGGTGCTGTCCCTCAGCTCTTCAGCTCAAGGCTAGCACTCTACCACTTGAGCCACAGCGCCACTTCCAGCTGTTTTTGCTTATGTGGTACTGAGGTGTCAAATCCAGGGCCTCATGCATACAAGGCAAGCACTCTACCTCTGAGCCACCTTCCCAGTGTCATGCACAAATTTTTTAAAAAGAAAAAGAATCATACTTTTGGAAGGATGATCTCTTCTAGATAGAAATTCCAAACTGGGGAATTAAACCCTATTGACTTTTTATTCCCAATAAAGTGAAACTTCATCTTTTATTTAATGACATGCAGAAGTAGGACTATAAAATCATGGTCTTTTAAAAATGAAATTAGGATCATATTATACTAAGACTCCTGTCCCCAAAGCAAAAAGTGTAGTCATTTCAAGGAAGTGAAATGATAGGAAGCTATATAAGGTTGTGGCTTTGACTGTTTCTATCTGATTTTGTTCCTGATTCATGGGCTTCAACTTTGTCCAAGTAGAGCTGTGAGTATGTTGCTCAGTGGTCTTAACTTCTGCCACATCCTTTCCCTAGGTTCCTCAAGAATCTTTTACCACTCAGAAAATATAGAAAGCTACTATTTATAATTTTTCATGTCATTAAATCAATGAGTATCTCTTCTCATAAGTACATATACTTTACCCTAAATAATGAGATGCAATCTGATCAGGTCTTACTAGAAAAGCAAACACTAATCTATAAATCACATTTAATCTCTTAATCCTCAAGATCATTTTATAAGTCAGACAGAATTATTACCTTATTTTATCAATGGGTCAATTCCAGCTTAGAGACAATAATTTCTTCAAGGTCCCAGGGCTACAGTTTGAGCTCTGAATTCACTATATGGATTGACAGTGTAAATGGTCAATGTGGTGGAGGTCTAAGAAAGTAAATTTTCAGGGAATTTCCCTGTAGGCTAAAACCAGGATCTGGCTAAAGACTTGAGTTCTGCCTACATAGTTAGATCAGTAAGCCACCTCTTACAAGAGATGGTAATTAATTCTATGAATGGATTCAGATGGTAACTTTACTCCTATTTCGTGATCTTTAACCTTTTTCCAAGAAGGGAATATGAAAGTGAGTATACAGCCTTTGAAGGAAAAAAAAAAAAAGAATGACAGAAGCCCAGCAAAGTAGAATTCAGAATCTTATTCTCCCTGTGTCATAGCAGACCTTCTATGCTAGTGTATCTTAATAGGTAAAGCCAGGAGAGGTAAGCAGGACATTTCATTAGCTTTGAAGAGGATTTACTGAATCCTTAACATCAGAAAATGTATGGAAAACCTTTCAGGTAATACTATTTAAGCACAGGATTTTAAAATAAAGGAAATAATAGTCTGGTCAACTTTAGAATTCATTGAAACCTAGACTCATTCATTCAGTCTGACAATAAGCATATTTTTCAGAAAGTTCAAAAAAAGATGTTCCTAGAGGAAAATTAGGGTTTTGTACATGGTGAGTCTCATTTTTTGACAAAATGTGGATTGTTCAAGGGACCTGAAGCGAGGCTTTGGATAGGACTTTAGATAATTTCCTTCCTCGGGGAGTTTCTTTCCCTCCCTTAGGAGGGAATAAGATCCAAGCCTTCCTCAACTCCACACCAGTTAGAAACTCCCCATGATGTTCTTTCTGGAACCTGTGGGCAAACCATTCCAATGAAACCTCTACCCATGTACACTTCTCAGACACTTGTTGCTAATCCTCAGCCAACCTACAGCATGGTCTGTCACAAAGGAGAACCTACAGGGTGATTCAGTTGTTGTGTTTTGAAACAGTACTGGAGGTCCAAAGAGGCCATTTCACAACTGAACTCTCCATACCAGAGTCACCAGTGCCACAGAGGGCATCAACCTGCCACACATTTAGGCTAGAGCTTTGGGATCATTTCTCAGGCCAGACAGGGCCTAGAAGAACAATGGCTTCAGACAGACAGATAATTATGACTCCTGTTGTTAAAATGCAGTCTGGTGCAAGATTACTGAGTTAGAGGATGTGATGCCCACAGGGTCAAAGTCACTGCTACTGCCCCAAATGTCCTTCCCCTTGATGTGCTGGCAAATTTCCAAGAACTGAACAATCCCCTAAGTGGGAAGTCAATTGTAAGCCAAGAATCTGGCATCTCAATGCTAACAGTGACTTTCCTTCCCACTTCCCTTTGCAGTTCACAGTACATTGGTCTTCCCTTATCCTCAATTCAACTGTTTCAAGTAGATACACCTGCAGTAGATCACTGTCCAAACTTATTAAATGGAAAATTACCAAAATAAATAATTCATGTCTTAATGTTTTCACAGTTATTATTCTCTTCTATTTATAATTATTGTTAATCTCTTACTTGAAAGTTAATCAGAGCTATGTATCTATAGGAGAAAACAAAGTATATAAAAGAGTATTATCTGCAGGACCAGGCACCTCCCAGGGTCTTGGAATGTGTCCCCATAGGCAATGGGGACAATAGTCACTATACAAAACAGAAGATTACACAGGGACACATTACAAATGCAGACTTCTACCTTGTCTTGCTGTCCTCAAGTCTATTTCCTATGGAACTGTCCCCTGAATGATTGCTACTTTCTTTGGTCTGAGTTTGTCTCTGCCTGCAGAGGCAGTTTTTTTATTTGAGCTGGAAGTTCTTCCAGCAGCTTCTACCAGTTAAATCGATCTCTAAGTACCACCACCCTTCTTCTGACTTCTGAGAGAAAACCAGGACACTTTCATTCATACCTTGCTTGCCACTTGAGGAAGGGAACCCTGAAATTTGGATTTCTGTTGCTCCTTGGATATTGTTCACTAAAACATGCAAACTCTGTTCACCTTAGTAGATTCAGTTTCATACACAGCTTTTCAATAGTAAATTCTAGTGAACCCCACCAGCCTCTGTACCAGAAGAGAGACGAGAAAGAGAGGGGAAGGATGGAAAAAAGATAAAGATAAAAATTGAAGGGTTAAACTGTGAGTTTCAGGATTAAATCTGAGGATGATGAAGATAAATATTTAAATTGAAGAATATTCTTCCAACTCAAAGGAAAAATATCACATGCACACTTAATTAATATCTTATTTATAATAGCTGTTAAACTGATGTGGCTGTTGTGTCTCCAATAGAATTGTTTTTCTTTTTTTTTTTTTGGTCAGTTTTGGGACCTGGACTCTAGGCCTGGGCCTTGTCTCTCAACTCTTAAGCTCAAGGCTAGCACTCTACCACTTGAGCCACAGTGCCACTTCCGGCTTTTTCTGCTTATGGTGCTGAGGAATTGAACCAAGGCCTCATGCATTCAAGGCAAGCACTCTACCACTAGGCCACCTTTCCAGCCCTAGAATTGTTTTTAAAATCAATATTCTAATTATAAAATTGTTGAAAAAATCATATAGCACACACCTCATGGTTATCATTATTACTTACTAAGTATAGTAATGTTATGAGAAATGTTACCTCTCCTTTGAGGTATGTTTGAGATTGAATATTATAAAAACCTAGGCCAAATATATTCACTTTAAAGGGAGGACAACTCACCTTAAGACCTTGGTCAAAGTGTCCTTTTCTTTGGACACAGCTGACCATCTCTAACTGAATGAAGCCTTCCTAGTTTTAATTTGATTGTATTTTACATAAAGTTACACATGAAGTCAATGTAGGAATTATTAATCAATCACACTTATATCTCAGAACGTAACATGGATCTAGTTTTGAACAGTTCTTAGGAATTCCTGGTGACTAATTCCAGAGGTGGTTAACTTCTCTCACTCACCAGGAATTCATCTGTCAAAGGGCCACCAGTTAAGAATAGAGCTCAGTCTTCAAGTTTGCTCCCAGTCCTATGAAAAATATCTTTCTTGATTGTTATATACACATGTCCAATAGCTTCATGAAACAAACTCAATAGCTCTTATTTTGAACTCTAGAAATTCTTCTAACCCAATAATAGACTCTTGAAAGATACAGAAGCAATCTGATGGACAGAATTATTTTCTTTGGAGCAAAGGACTGTGGGACTTGTAGTGTTCCCTGCCGTGCCGGTACTCAGTTGTCCATCTGGAATGAATGGCTGAAGCCTCCTCCTCTCTGTCCCCTGCAGATTCATACTCTTCATCCACTGCATAGAACAGGGGCTTAGGCCTCAAAAACAGCCTCCTGCTTCTGCCATCATGCACTTCGTGGCTGCTGTTGCTTTGGTAGCCAAAATTATATGCCTTCCCTCCTCTGTGTAAGCTCTTCATTGGGATCATTTCTTGTGTCAGTCGTCTTTCCTGAAGGGATCCTGTTCGGGAGTGTGAACTAAACATAATGGATGGGTATCCTGGATCGCTGCCGTCATCATCATCTAGGAAAAGCATTGTAAGAAGAAGGGGGAAAGAACAACATTTGAAATCAGGGTTAGGGATTTGAATACATATGGCAAACACTGAAGGGAAGCAAACCCTTCTGAGGTTCCAGTCATTACTCTAAGAGGTTCAGGGAACATATTGTGTATGCATATATACAGTGCTATACCTGCATGAAATGCTTGCACTCTGGGCATCAAAAACCAGTCTCTGCAATGTGCGTAAGGTAGTGTTCACTTACAAGATCAGGTTACTTGGCCAAGGACATAACTCATAAGACATAGCAAGCTACTCTGCTGGGCACTAATGGTTCATGCCTATAATCCTAACATCTCTGGAAGCTGATATCTGAGAATCGCAGTTCAAAGACAGCACAGGCAAGAAAGTTCATGAGACTCTTGTCTCTAATTAACCAACAAAAAGCCAGAATCAGAGCTATGGCTCAAGTGGTAGAACACCAACCTTGAACTTTTATATAAAAGTGAAGGGACACTTAGGCCCTGAGTTCTAACCTCAGTACAGTCACAGAACAAAATAAAATATAAAACCACTACTTTATCTTCTGAAAGGCCAACTGAAACTCAATGCTACATGGGACTTCTATTTCTTTTTCTTTATTTTGTACTGATCCTAGGGCTTAAACTTGGGCATGGATGCTGTCCATGAGCTTTTTAGCTTGTTAGCACTCCACATTTTGGGGGGGGGGGTGTTGATCGTTAATTGGAGATAAAAGTCTCCTGTCTGCTGGCTTTGAACCACCATCCTCAGATCTCAGCCTCCTGAGAAGCTATGGTGACAGCCACCAGTGCCTGGCTTGCTTTCCTCCAGTGCCCCCCTTCCCCTCTTCTTCTTCCTCTTCTTCCTCCTTGCTGGAAAGTAGAGGGTAACTTGATCCTGCCTACATGTGAATTAAGAAGTCCAGGGCAGGAGCAGCAGATGTCTCTATCAACACTCCCTCCCCAGCGTCTGTTCTACACATTCTGGATGATTGACAGCCTTGACTTCTGAACCCGTGCACTGGGGGCTAAATCAAGACAGAGCTTCTACTCAGAGCAAGGCAGAGCTCCACCACAGGAAAGTGACAACACACAGCATTCAGAGACTCAGATCTGAACATTTTAAAATGTTGTGAAATATATGATAAATGTAATACCTTATCCATTAAAAAAAATTGATCATTTAAGCCAGGCAGCAGTGGCTCAGGCTTGTAATCCTAGCTACTCAGGAGGCCGAGATCTGAGGATTGCAGTTTTAAACTAGCCTGGGCAGGAAAGACCATGGGATTCTTATCTCCAGTTAACTAGCAAAAAGCAGCAGTGGATCTATGCCTCAAGCCCTGAATTCAAGCCCAGGAATAGGTCATGAGTATGAACATGCATACATGTGCGCTCTCTCTCTCTCTCTCTCTCTCTCTCCCCTCTCTCTCTGTCTCTCTCTGTCTCTCTCTGTGTGTGTCTCTCTCTGTGTGTGTCTCTCTCTCTCTCACACACACACACACATTTTAAAGGTACAATTCAATGGCACTAAAAGCATTTATACTTATTAAATTGCCACCACTCTCTTTCTCCAGAGCTTTTTCTTTTTTCATTTTTTATGTTTTTTTATTGTAAAAATAGTGTACAGAGGGGTTATAGTTACATGAGCAAGGTAATGAGTACATTTCCTATCAATCATTGTTACCTTCTCTTTTGTTTTTCCCCTACCATAGACCTCAGGCTGCATGGGTTTTTAGCCATCTCAGGACTTGCAAAGGGTTAAAAGATGCAGTCTTGCTAAGTACAACACAAGTGAGTCCCAAAGGCAAATAATGTTTTGGAAGATATGTGTGGGTCTTCCCAAAGCTATCATGGAGACCCCCAGACATTCAGAGCAAAGCATGTCCTGAAACTGGAGAGCAAGGGAGTTGTTTTCTGAATCTCAGCCTAGATAACCAGCCACCGTCTGCTACAAGTAGAATCCTGTTCTAAAGTCTCCCCTCCAACTCCTTGGCTGTTTCCTGCCCTTCTCCTGGTGTAGAAAGACCTTAGTAGTGGGGAGAAGGTGGATCCCACTAACCAATTGTGTTGATTTGTGGTATATCAGCCTCACTACGCCAAAGGACTATCTCTGTCACCTACTGATCACTATTATAATTCCTTATTACTGGTCATGTAATTCTCATAACCTAAATCCATTTCATTACTTTTTGTACTTAAGAGGATAATCTAACCACTCTTATCTATATGACATTTAGAATCAGTTGAACACATCTAAGTGAGTACAAAATTTAAAACGAATATGAAATCTGAAAAAGCTGGAAGTGGCGCTATGGTTCAAGTGGTAGAGCGCTAGCCTTGAGCTGAAGAGCCGAGGGACAGTGCCCCGGCCCAGAGTTCAGATCCCATGACTGCCAAAATAATATATCTATTAATATGAAACTTACACATGATCCTGTTGAAAGAATTAGGAAATTAATAAAAATTACAAAACAATGACTAACAATTTTTATTTATAATGCAATGCAGTGTTTTTGTGTTTTGCATTTGTGTCAGGTATGGGAAAAATAGGAATCAGAATAGTACAGAAAGTTATAGGAGGGGGCTGGGAAGGTGGCTCAGTGGTAGAGCACTTGCCTTGCATGCCAGAGGCCCTGGGTTCGATTCCTCAGCACCACATAAGCAAAAAGAAAAAAGCCGGAAGTGGCGCTGTGGCTCAAGTGTTAGAGCGCTAGCCTTGAGCTGAAGAGCTGAGGGACAGTGCCCAGGCCCAGAGTTCAGGCCCCACGACCGGACCCAAAAAAAAAAAAAAAAAAAAGAAAGTTATAGGAGGGTACTAATCAAAGTGGTCTGTAGTGACATAACTGAATGTTGGGGGTCTCATATGGTTTTAACTTCCTTTATTATGTTTTCCTCCTACTCATTGATTTGTGTTGGGGAGGGCAGTCCTGGGGCTTAAACTTAGTGACTAGTTCAGTCTTTGAGCTTTTTTGCACATTAGTGTTCCACACTTGAGCCGCAGCTCCACTTTCAGCTTTTTTGGTCGTTAATCAGAGATAAAAGTCACACAGAACTTCTTTCTTGGGCTGGCTTTAAACCATGACCTTTAGATCTCAGCCTCCCAAGTAACTAGGATTACAGGCATGAGTCAGTGGGACCCAGTGCTCTTAGTCATTGCTTTTACATGAAACATGCTTTTAAACCAGAAGAACAATCACTTGAAAGAATAATTATATTTATTTTTAAATCCAGGTGCTGTGGCTTACACCGATACTCAGGAGCCTGAGCTCTAAGGATCAAGTTTCAAAGATAGACCAAGAAGAAAAGTCCATGAGGATCATCTCCAGTTAACCAGCAAAAAGGCAGAAATGGAGATGTGGATCAAGTGGTACAGTGCAAGCCTTGAGTGAAAAAGCCATGAGGGAATACAAAGTCCTGAGTTCAAGTCCTAATACTAGCATACATACATACTTACATACATACATACAATGTAATTCTAAAATTCTGCATGTGTAGTTTTCTTGAATTTTCAATGTGACTTGAAAAAGGCTTAAGAAATTAGGAGACTCAAAATTGAGAATATGTGATATTCTATATATTATATGCCATCTTTTGACAAAAATCAAACTTATTTATACACACATTTAAAACACGGTAACTTTGCTTTTTATTAACAATAAGATGGGGGCTCGGAAGGTGGCTCAGTGGTAGAGTGCTTGCCTTGCATGCATGAGGCCCTGGGTTCAATTCTCCAGCACCATATAAGCAAAAAGAAAAAAAAGCCGGAAGTGGCGCTATGGTAGAGCACTAGCCTTGAGCTAAAGAGCTGAAGGACAGTGCCCAGGCCCAGAGTTTAGGCCCCACGACCGGACCCCCCCCCCAAAAAAAAAACCCACAAAAAAACACAATAAGATGTTTCAGATATTTTAAGAATCTCACCTAAGTGTTAAATGGAACAGCTTTGAATAGTAAATTTATGAAATCATTTCAGTGAAAGTTAACTAGCTCTACCTTTTATGTATCTTTCAAATACAGATCAACAAACTATGCCCCTGGGCTCTTTTTAACCTGATGCTTCTATTTGTATGAATTGGGAGCTATGAACCATTGTTACTTTTTTAAATGGCTGAAATAATTAAAAGAAGACAATAGGTCATGTGGAATGACAGTTGTATAAAATTTGAATTTGGGTGTCTATAAATAAAATTCTGAATTGCATCCCTAAAAGAAATTCTTTTCTTCTCGTTACTATTATAAGCCCCTATATCATATTCTTGTTCTTGCCTCTTGGCTAACAATCCCCCAAATGCTTACCCTCTGCCTCTATCAGAAAGAAACAGCACAGCTACATGTCAGCTTACCTATGGATTCTTCTACCCTCGCTTCTCTCCTTGCTGGATGAGGATGGCTGTAGGGGAAGGAGAGGTAGCGAATGTTTTTGGTGCCAGCCTGTGGGTAGAAACATAAAGCAGAATGAGATACTACAATTGGAACCTTAACATAGCAAATAAAGTGAAGAATGCAGACACATACCATGGCATCTTGCTTGGATTACTGGCTTCTAGTTACTTTGATTGAAAGATAGCAGAATGCTTCAGACGTTTGTGTATATTCCCTCTCATGTGAACCTTTCTCAGTTACTCCCCAGGCCCTCTGAATGAGGATCAATATTAGGGTTCACTCTAGACCAAACCTCCATCCAGAAATCCCAGCACGATTAGTATGACATATCCTCCTTAAGAAGGAAGAGTTCAGGTGTATTTCAAATCACAGTAGGTGATCTGAAGACGAGGCCCATAAGTCCTGTCACAACCCTCTAAGAGGGCCAGAGGCTCTAATCCAAAAGAAATCTCAGGGCCACCATTAGGTCTGGCTCAGGACTCAACCTACACAAGAGGGCAGTACACTGCCATTTATTTCCTAGGCAGATGCCCAGAAGACCTGGACCCAGGGAGGGGAGACGGCCTTTGTGTCCTCTCTTGCCCAATCTTGCCTTTGCAGATCTTTGGCAATAGAGTGTAGCTGGTGACAGTTCACCCCGCAAAACCCAAGGTATCAGATGATAAACATCTGTAGATTGAAGAATGTTCCATGCCCACGGTATCTACATACCGGCTTTTCCCAAGGCAAGCTGTGGCCTTTCCTCATGCTCTCTCTCAAGGTGTTCTGGCGGCGGATCAGAATCTCTTTAGCCTGCTTGTCACTTGATTGGGGTTTGAGGTTGTATTTGTTGTAAGACAGGGTCTACAGAGAGAATGGATTGACAGGTAAGAAGAACGCTTGTAGTGTGGCATTCAGCCCCAGGAGGTGTTGATACAGGGTCCACCTGAGATGGCCAGCACCTTTGCTGAGCAATGTTTGGAACACAGCTGCCTGTAAGGCCCACCTGAGAAAAGGCTGTGAGCTGAATCAAGTCTCCATGGCCTCATACACACTAACATACTTAGAGCTTGCTTGTGTCCCACTCTTCTTTCCCACAAGGAGTTTTAATGTCAGGCCAGTAGCTCTTAGGCATTTTGATTTGATAGATAAGAAGGATATAAAAACCACTCTGGAAATTTCCACAGGCTTTCTATTTTTTTTTTTTAAATTTTACTAATGAAGTAAACACATACATCCCTCACCCCCTAAAAAATCAACCCAATTTCTGAAAGGAAGAAAACTTGTATCAAACCAGTAGGATAAAGCAGAGATTAAAAAAGTTTATCAAATTGAATGGATGATCAGCTTATGATGAATTTCTTCCTAGCCCTTATCATGGACCATGGGCTGACATGGATACTTTAACTAACCTGTAAGATTCTTAACTAGTGCTTCTTCCCTTGTGTCTCACCCCAGGTTCATCAGTGAATGCCAAGTTTTCTTGGGGCTAGTGGGTAACATTATGTTAAACTACATAGTCCCATTGGATAAGAGGATTGAGACTGCAGGTGTTAATTTTATTCCAATTGCAATAGAATGAATAGTCTGTGGTGTGACAGTGACAAAGCCAAAACACATGGTTTGTTTTTTTTCAAACAAGTGAATCAGAATTCTCACCCTCAAAAATCTTTACAGTCTTCTGGAGGAGTCAGTGTGTAGGGACATAATATGCGCTCAATGAGTATTAAATAGGCACTGTAGAGTAAAGGCCTTGGATGGGATGGGTTTATTTCACTGAAGTTAGTCTTGAAAGATCAGTGGATGTTATCCTGGGGATAAGTTACAGAAAGAAGCATAGGAGCAAAGAGTTGTTAACTAGCTTGAAGGGAAAGCAGAAGGAACACTGGGAAACACGCAGGAATGGTTTTGTTATCGTGAGAATGAAGTATATCACCTAAAGTGTAGTAAGAGATGGGAATGGAGGGACAAAGAACAATAGGAAGGAGCCATGGACAGCCTTCCCTGGAATGGAGAGTCTATCCTTAAAAGCCAGGTGTCCTCAGATATGGAACATACATTCCAAGATGCTATGGTATGAGCCTCGGGGTGAGAAAAGAAAATGTTGACTCTTAAGATGTTAAGCATCATTACTATGTGGATTTGTATTTGGCTCTCAGTTGGTCTGGGGATGATGTGAACAAGTTTCTGGCTGCACAGATGGTATTCTTGAGGGAGATGAGGGGGCAGCCAGAGCCTTGAGGGTTTCATTGGGTTTTCGCTTATTGTTTAGTGAATGTGCATCCAATCAAGTAGATTTTTATGATTTTCATTATCCTACTGAATGCATTCTCATAAAACCAACAATTGCTTCAAAGTCGTTCTACAAAGAAGGAATAAATCGAAGAGAACAAGGAGGAAGAAGCAAAGTTGCCTTTCTGATTTTCCTAATAGAAACTTTTTTTTGAGGGTCTTGGGGCTTGAACTCTAGGCCTGGGCACTATCCCTCAGCCTTTTGACTCAAAGCTAGTACTCTACCACTTGAGCCACTGCATCACCCTGGGTTTTCTGGTGGTGAATTGAAGATAAGAGTCTCCTAGATTTTCTTGAACAGGCTGGCTTGGAACTGTGATCCTAAGATCTCAGCCTCCTGAGTAGCTAGGATTATAGGCATGAGCTAGCGGCTCCTGGCTAAAGAATGTCTTTTTTTTTTTTTGCCAGTCTTAGAGCTTGAACTCAGGGGATGGACACTGTCCCTGAGCTTCTTTCACTCAAGGCTAACACTCTACCACTTGAGCCACAGCACCACTTCTGGCTTTTTCTGTTTATGTTGTACTGAGGAATCAAACTCAGGGCTTCATACATACTAGGCAAGCATGCTACCATTCTACCACTCTACCACATTCCCAGCCCCTAATAGGAACTCTTTATCATCCCCTTTTTTGGTTTGTGTGGAAGTACTAGCAGAACAGAATTTGCTAGACAGGTGCTCCACTGCCAATCTATGCCTCCATCCTCTTTGCATCTAGTATTTTGAGATAGGGTCATTCTTCTTTGCTAAGTCTATGCCTATATCATAATCCACCTATTTTGTTTCCTTTTTTCCTAAGGCTATGGGCACACACCATCATGCTCAAATATTGGCTTAGGAGGGGTCTTTCCTGCATACCTCTTAGCACCCCCAAGAAGCTAAGATTGTAGGCATATGCCACTGGTATATGGCTCTGTCACTTCTAACAAATTGCCATATTCTGACAATAATTTGGCAAAAAATGAATTATGAAGACAGTTTGAAACATGGATTCTTACCTACCATCTTTACAGACAGGCCTTAATACGTTTTGTATTTTGTATACTGGAATATTTTAAAATAATATGACACTACCATTGAAATAGGTCATAAATAGATGGGTGATGGTGGCTCACACTTCTCATCCTAACTACCCAGGAGCCTGAGATCTGACAGTAGAGGTTTAAAGTAAACCCAGGAAGAGAAGTCTGTGAGACCATTATTTCCAATTATCCAGCAAAAAAGTGGAAGTGGAGGTATGGTTGAAAGGCAGAGTATCAATGTTGAGTAAAAAAAAAAAGCCAAATGAGAACAAGACGCCCTTCGTATTGGCACAAAAATTAGTATTGAGTCAGAATATATAAACAAATTTTATAATTTTTCATCATTGCTAAAGTTATGTAAATCTGAATTCAGTGTGTGGGCATGCTTGTGTATGTGTATATGTGTGCAAGTGTATATGCATTTATTGCTAGAAGCTATTTCCTATTCCTAGATTTGGAAGGAGGATATATTTTAAGTAATATTTTGATACTTTGGGTTGTATTGTGCCTCAACAAATGATTGTTCTTTGCTATTTTGAACATTAGAAGGGAGCCTAAATTTTTCTATGCATGCCGGGCGCTGGTGGCTCACGCCTGTAATCCTAGCTACTCAGGAGGCTGAGATCTGAGGATCCCGGTTCAAAGCCAGCCCGGGCAGGAGAGACCGTGAGACTCCTATCTCCAATAAACCACCAGAAAACCAGAAGTGGCGCTGTAGCTCAAGTGTAGAGCACTCACCTTGAGCTGAAGAGCTCAAGAGGGACAGCGCCCAGGACCAGAGTTCAAGTCCCAAAACCGACAAAAAAAAAAAAAAATTTTCTATGCATGTAATATGTATGCTTGTTTTTTCTCTCCCCTCCTCCAATTTTGGCCTCCGACGAAAGACCTGATGATTAGTTGAAGTTTGTTTTCCCCCATCAGAACCTTGAGTTCAATGGTAGAAAATGCTTTGCATTGCATTGTGCAGTGTTCTTAAAGCCTAGTGCAGTCTTTGCTGAGGAGAACAAAAATTGAGCAAAATGAAATAAGTTGAATACATTGCTTTCTTTCTCTGGAAGTATATAGAAATTCTGGAAGCAATCTGATCATGTAACCTACTCCAGTAACTGTGTATAGTGTATGACTCTCCTTAGGCTTAGACTGAGAATGATTTGTTTTGTTGTGAGTGTAGAAGAGCACTTCTGAGACTCCATCCCAGTCTGTTCCACAGAACTTGCCCTACTGTTATCCCACTGACAATCTCCAGATATTAATCTTTCTCTACCTCTCACCCCCATGGATTCCATCTTGGACTGAGGGGAGGGGTTTCCCACAGTAATGGCTGGAAATCCAGTAGTACTGTTTGGTTTCATATTAACTGTGTCTTAGTATCTCCCAGAGTCAAACTCTGAAATAATCTTGGCTCTTCCTTAAAGTGGCTCCTGTCTCCAAAGTAAGATTCTTCCAAAGCATGGACAGAGACAAATGCCTAACTACCAGGCCTGTACCCATTGCCTGAGCTTAAAGACTTCAGATGGCTATTTACACATTCTTGTAACAAGTCTTAAAAATTTTAAGCCAGGTGCCAGTGGCTCCTGCCTATAATCCTAGCTTCTCAGGGGGCTGAGATCGGAGGATCACAGTTTAAAGCCAGCCTGGGAAGGGAAGTTCATGAGACTCTTATCTCCAATAAACCACTAGAAAACCAGAAGTGGCACTGTAGCTCAAGTGGTAAAGCGCCAGCCTTGAGCTGAAGAGCTGAGGGACAATGCCCGAGCCCAGAGTTCAAGCCCCACGATTGACAAAAAAAAAAAAAAAAATTGATTGTCCTCTAAGAAGAACAGATATACAGTTGTGTGAGGTTACATTTTCAGGATGGTTTTTCCTTCAAGAAAACAAAAGGACAGGACAGAAGAGAAGATTCTCATGGTCCTTAGAAAGCTGGAAACAGGAAAAAGAAGAGCCAGTGAGTAGCACTATAAAAGTGCTGACAGTAGAAGCAAAAGGCCTCTCATGGGTTTTTGTTTTTTGTTTTTTTTTGTTTTGTTTTTGTCAGTTGTGGGGCTTGAACTGTGGGCTTAGGCGCTGTTCCTGTGCTCTTCAGCTCAAGGCTAGCCCCCTACCACTTGAGCCATAGCACCATTTCTTGTTTTCTGGTGATTTATTGGAGATAAGAGTCTCACAGACTTCCTGCCTTGGGCTGCCTTTGAACCATGATCCTCAGATCTCACCCTCTTGAGTACCTAGGATTATAGGTGTGAGCCACCAGTGCCCAGCTGCCTCTCATGTTTTATAACTTGAGTTCTATCCATTATCCACCTTCTCTTCATTTGACACCCCAGGGTGCTAAGTAGATAAATACATGAGGTTAGCAAATTCAAATTTGGGGACAGCACAGAAGGGAAGTAATGGATAGCTTAGAAAGGAAAATTCTGGAGGCTGGATAGAGGAGGAAATTCACCAAGGAAGGAGGGATTATCTGAGAATCCAAATTAGGGAAGGAGAAAGAATGTGGGTGATGGACCATTTCAAACAGGATTAGAGTTTCAAGATCTCTGCCTCCATTGCAGGCCCTTTCCCTTCATTCATCAAACTAGTGGAAAAGCTGAATATAGGGAACTTTGTGGTCCCTGACCCTATTAAACTGTCTACATTCTTGAAACCAGGAAGTACTGATCTATTTACTGAGGGCTGAATGTGATCCACTTACTGAAACAGTTTCACTTGGAATGATTTGAAGGCTGTGGAATTTACTCTACATATCATTGAACCTGACCTACATTCCTTCAGCTAGTCTTGAGCTAGTCTCTGACTCTGGGCCCTTAGTCATTGAACTTTCTGAAAAAGGACACCACTGAACGCTTACTTACTTTCACTGGATTATGTAAGTCTGGAGTCATGGAAAGAATGTTGCCTAGATGGGCACATCTGTGTTTTGGACTGGGATTTATTGTGTGACCTTGAACAAGTTGAAACATCAGCTACACTAATCCCAGTATCTGCTACTTAAAAATGAAGAGTTTGACTAGTGCTTTAATCCCATTAAAATGATGATCATAGTCACAATGAACATCCTATTAGAATGAAGCCCAAGGATTAGGATTCACAACTGAGTCCTCAAAAATTGGAAAACGTATGCACAAATGGCATTTAATTGCTCTTTGGTCAAAGTTTCTGAAGGTTGCACTCACTGTCCCCTAAGATATCTAATCTCTCTGTCTCTGTCTCTGTCTCTGTCTGTCTCTCTGTCTCTTTCTCTCTGTGTCTCTCTCCATCTTTCTGTCTCTCTCTCTCTCTCTCTCTCACTGTCTCTCTCTCTCTTTCTTTTTCTAGCAGTCCTGGGACTTAAACTCTGGGCTTGGGTGCTATCCCTGAGCTCTTCAGCTAATGCAAGCACTCTACCACTTGAGTCACAGCACCACTTCCAGTTTTCAGGTAGTTAATTGGAGATAAGAGTCTCACGGATTTTCCTGCCCAGGCTGGCTTTGAACTGTGATCCTCAGATCTCAGCCTCCTGAGTAGCTAAGATTACAGGCATGAACCACTGGATCCCAGCTATCTTTCTCTCTTATTCTGGCTTTCTTGATTGTAAAATCAGTATTCTCCTTTAAATGAACTCAACTTTCGTTTTTTATTCCATTCATTAAATTGCACACCATTGAGGCAACTCAGAGGTCGTTAGTGTCTTTGTGCCATCTTTTATTCTGAGCTGACTGTGTTCCTGACCCACAGGTTCTGGAAAGGGCCAAGCCCCAGGATTGGGGCAGCCTGACCCCTACAGACAGCAACTGGATTTGCATCTCTCCTTATGCCGCAGGTGCCAGGTTTTGAGGAGAAACCTAACAATTGTCTTTCTGTTCTCTAAAACCAAGCAGAGAGAACTGGTTCAGCAGAAAGCTGCTTTAGTGAGGACAATGTGAACAGGAACAGATTCCTGAAGGAACTGGTTCCAAGAACAGGTGCAGGGGCAAGGCGGAGAGCCCACACATACCCTTTGTCGAACTTGGTACATGTTGTGTGTCAGAATGTCTCTCATGGACTCCACATCTTCAGGGGAAAGACGCTTGATTCTCTGTATTCTCCGGGTCCTGGAAATATCATTGGAGGAAAGCTGAGTGTTTTTCTTTCATATTGGCCAGAGACACCAGAACATGAACTGCTTTGGCCTTTTGTGACAAGAACTCTTACGTGGCAGAACTGTATTTTTACATAACCATTTCTAATACTTTAGCAAACTCATTTGAGATGTCACAACCTGAGTTTTTACTTAAATTTTCAAAAAAAAAATGTTATTCCTTTATAGTATTTTTGTGGTAACTACTCTGACCTTTGTTTTAAACAAAGGGATTCATGATAATGATGACTACTTTTTTACTCCAAAATGTCACAAATTGGAATATTTGCAGAATATATTAAAAATCAATTACCAGAAAATTTTATGAAAAAATGAAATCCCAATATTTTACAGTTACATTAAACAGAAATAAATTACTCAAAGATTAATTCTTTATTAATTATGTGCTTGATCTCATTGTGGTTAGGTGATTAACAGACCAATACCATCAACATAACATGCTTTCATTTATGAATAACACCTGTAGGGATTTTAATTTGTTTAAGACGATTTCAAAACTGGAAATCACATTTTATAAAGAGAATTAACAACTTAATCTATTAGAGTTGGCCCAGCTCTGAAGGACTGGTACAATGCACCCCCAGAGAAGTTTAAAACTGAGATCAGGCTTGGGTTAGCAATCAATGCACAATTGTCCTGAGAGGATTTTAAAGTCAGAGCATGGATATTGGAAGAATTTCCATGTGACAACTGTATTTGATTACAATCTAATGGCAGTACTTTTTTTTGTCAGTACTAGTATCTAAACTCAGTGCCTCCAACTTGCTTGGCTTACTTGCTCAACTAGTGTGCTACCATTTAAGCCATGCCTTTATCCCAGCTTTTGCTGATTATTTTGAACATAGAATCTTACAAGCTTTTCTGCCAAGGCGGGCTTCAAGCCATGATCTTCCTGATCTCAGACTCCTGAGCTATGAGTACTCAACTAATATATTGGAAACATTTTTATTACACTAGAAGTATATGTTCATTGTAGAACATGAGAACAAAAAGAGAAAGCAATTTTCACCCTAGTGATAACTCATTCTATCAGATTGGATGAATTCCTTTGCGAATAAAATTTTCTAACATTTTCACAAAAAAGCAAGAAGAACTAAGGAAAATTAAGTCTTTCTTTTAATGCCTTAACATCTTGAATATCTTGAAGCATCTTGCATATGGCCTCAGGGAGGGTTTTGTGTGTGTGTGTGTGTGTGTGTGTGTGTGTGTGTGTGTGTGTGCGTGTGTGTGTGTGTGTGTGTTCTTGCTTGTTTCCTCTAGCTGCAGTGATCTTGAGAGTTCTTATGACCTCAGCATCTGCTTTCTACATGTTCTAAGGATAATGATCATATTTCAACAAGCAGTTTCAGCACAGGCCACCTTCATGTATTTTTTCCCAAAAGGTAGTAGCAATATGGCCAGAAATCCTTGAAAGTAATGAACAACTGATAATATATGTTTAAAGAGTTGGATAATGGATATCATAGTATGTTATGATTTTATTTAGAAATGCTATCTGTAAATTGTTCGTCATACAAACTCACTGAAATCAGAGTTTCTCTATCTTACAGCTGCAAATGTCACCTGTATGGGTACTCAGTTACCTTCCTTGGTGATATAAACATTATTATCAGAGCATTTCAACCTAACTATATAAATGTCCTCCAAATAAAATTTATTCTGATTTAGGTGCTGTCACACGCTGTCACAATCTGAACACATTCTTTTGTTATGGAAGGTGTGATGTACTGCTAAACAGAAACACCAGCTAGTCAAACAGTTCCATTTTCTGTGTTCATAGTAAAACAAATAAGAAAAACCCACTGATAAAGGGAACCGCAGAGTGAAACTTGATATAGCAGTGGATCAAACTTGGCACTATTTCCAGCTTATAATTGACCACTTGGGGAAAGCCCAGACTAATTAAGCCCATGCAGGCTGCTGATTAGAATGAGTAATAGGGTGTTTCAAAGGCATCCCCTCATCCCGATCGACGTGATGGTACAATTACAGAGACATGGTGAACTCGAGGGAGTCCATACATGGGGCTTTCTTCATGTCACTCATCCCGACATCCTCCGAATGCTTACATCACCAGCATGGGAAAACACAGTCCAAAGAAAACTAAATGGGTGATGATGTTAAGATCAAACGATGTGAACAATAATCTTAAGCGCTAGTCCCTGGAGCATTTATGTATTACCCACAAAGGAAATATTAGTCACCTTATAAAAAGTTGTATGGTTCTTTCATGGTAACTAAAATTAAACTAGGAAAATATGAATTCAAATGTATTTGAATACAAGTCCAGACTTCTATAACTTCCTCCTTCATTATTCCTTCCTTCCTTCCTTCTTTCCTCCCTCCCTCCCTCTTTCTTCTTTCTTTCTCTTTTTTCTCTCTTTCTCTTTTCTTCCTTCCTTCCTTTCTTCTTTCCTTCCTTCCGTCCTACCTTCCTTCCTTCCTTCCTTCCTTCCTTCCTTCCTTCCTTCCTTCCTTCCTTTCTTTCTTTCTTTCTTTCTTTCTTTCTTTCTTTCTTTCTTTCTTCTTCTCTTTCTCTCTTTCTTTCTTTCTGTGAGGTACTGTAAATTTGAGAAGCTCTATAGCCAGGTACCAGTGGCTTATGGCTGTAATCTTAGCTCTCAGGAGGCTGAGATCTGAGGATCACAGTTTAAAACCAGCCCAGGCAGGAAGGAGGCTCCAGTATCACATGAGTTGTGGCTCAAGTAGTAGAGTACTAGCCTTGAAAACAAAAAACTCATGCACAGCACTCAGACTCTGAGTTCAAGCCCAGTGACTGACAAAAATAAATCTTAATTCAATATTATATTCATGCATAGTATAATTGCCAAAGATCAAATCATGTAACCTGAGTCACTTAGAAGACTGCATGTTGGCATGGCTTAGATATGAAGTCTGTGGATAGAATATGTGTAGATGACTGGAAATCTAGTAGCCCTCATCTGCAATGTTGCCCACTAGATACTCTGTGCACATATCTGCTTTGTGTCCTTTATAGAGGCCACCAGGATGACCTTAAATGAGTGCCATAGCTGAGAAAATGCACAACATTTAGCATCAGAAGATATATCTTGGGCTGGAAAGGTGGCTCAGTGGTAGAGCGCTTGCCTTGCGTGCTCAAGGCCCTGGGTTCGATTCCTCAGCACCACATAAGCAAAAAGAAAAAAGCCGGAAGTGGCGCTGTGGCTCAAGTGGTAGTGCGCTAGCCTTGAGCTGAAGAGCTGAGGGACAGCGCCCAGGCCCCGAGTTCAGGCCCCATGACCGGACCCAAAAAATAAAAAAAGAAAATATATCTTAAAGTCAGCCTTGTAAGAACACAGAAATTTGAACTTATACCTATTGATTTATACATGATTAAGTAAAGAGCTTAAAATTTTTCAATAAATTACTTATACTTAAAAAAATAAATTATATAGTGAAGTTATTTATGACTTTCAAAACATAATACATTGAAGATATATAAATTATAGTTTGTTATGCCTTTATATTTATAAATACTTTAATATATCTATACTATTAGCCAACATAATTTTTCAGATTGACTATTTTCAATTGTTTTAAGTTCCTGTCTTCTAATACTTTGTTGTATTTATTTTATTTTATTTTATTTTGTGTGACAGTACTGGGACTTGAACTCAGATCCTGGGCACTCTCCTTAGCATTTTTGCTCAAGCTGTCACTCTACCACTTGGAAAACACCTCTACTTCCAACTTTTGTGATGGTTAACTGGAGATATAAGTCTCATAGCCTTTTCTGCCATTCTGGCTTCACACCACAATCCTCAGATATCAGCCTCCTGGGTAGCTAGGATTACAGGCATGAACCACCTGCACCTAATAATTTCAACTAGTTTACCATTGTAGATGAGATGAGCTGATTTATATTTTAAAAAATAATATATATGTATACTACATGTTCCAGAGGGTGAGATTGAATTGAAAATAACTTTAATTTATTTAAAATAATTGAAATAATAATTATAAATAAATAGTATGTTTTAAAGTAACAGAGTTCCACAGGATCAACATGATCCAACCCATGCCACAGACAACCCTGACAGTAGCTTTCTCTTGAAGGTCAAAGAATTTGGAAATCTAAACCTTTGGTAGAACAATTGCTTAAACTTCTAAAGAAAAGAAATATCTGTGCATTTTACTGTTATCATCCCATGCAGAATAATAAAAAGCGAGCTGAGTACACACTTCGTTTTCCTATTATTGTATGAAAGTTTGTTTTTTTTTTCAGAATTTAGTCACTTTGATCTCAGGAGAGGAATTCCTTTCTCTTGACGTTACTGCAAGGTTTCTGATGAGATCAAATAAAAGAAATTTAAATATAATAAAGTTGTATTAAACATAAACTTTAAAATATCTCACCCAGTTAACTACCTAGATTGAGGTATAGGAAGTGCATAAAGTAAAATAAGAAAATATCTTATCCTTAGTATCTTGAATCAAGCTCTGAAGCAATAATTAACTTGAAGGGAAAGGGAGGGACTCTTGGTTAGAAATTGAAGCAGTTGCTTATGGCCAATGCAATATAACACAAAGATTTCATACCATGGTTTAGCATGATCCTCATTTGAGATAAGCACCTTTGCATTCCTAGACCAAGTGCTCACATAACTAGAGAGCAAACCCAACCAGAAAGTTCTTGAGCTGTCCAGCTCTCCAAGACCACTGCGTTAACTCTTCATCCTCCAGTGAACAGGTCACAGACCAGATGACCACAGGGGACACACCTCTCACATAGTTGTGTAGCTTCCTATTTGTTAGGCTTTACATCATGCACTCCCCTCCTTTATTTTTCACTAATGTCCTGACCTTGCTGGAGTATGGTGTCATCTAGTGATCAGGACTGGAGCTTAAGTACAAAGTTATAGGGGGAAATAAAAAGGTTCAATCATTAAGCAAGACTTTGACTATTTGAATACAGTATTTTAGAATGGAAAAATACAAAAAGATCTTTGATGAATAAAATAGCAACACTCTGAATGAAAACAAGATTAACATTCCTGATTATTTTCCTGTTGCCCCTGGCTCCACTTATGGCTCAGGGTAGCTTGCCAATAAATATTTGTTAGCAACTTTCCCATTTTAGTACCAGAAGTTCCCTTCAAGCCATGTGATGAGCTGCACAACACAAACAAACAAGCCACAGAAACAGGCTCACTGAGAAAAAAGGCAGAAAGTGGCTTTTTATAAAACTGAGATAACCTTGGAGACACAAGTTTAGATTTCTTCCCAAAGCCCTATAAGAAAGCAGTGATGTTTCTGATTCATCAACAGGTAAGGGAGGAAAGTGTAATCTGAAACATAACACCCAGCAGTTTGTGACGATTTTATTGCTGCTTATTCTTAGCTCTGCTCTCAACTTGCTTTTCTAATGTGAGGACATCATTGACGCTTGTGATCAAGAATCATTACTTGCTGAAGATGACAGCATGGAAGGGTGTTGGTGTTCCTTTCCCTAAATATATGTTCTGATTAATTTCCCCAATTTATAAACCATTCCTTGGAAGGCTATGGGGCATTTAGAGGAGTGAACTGATTCTTGTAATGTTGAAACAAGTCTTTAAGGAAATAATAACAGCTTTAAGAAAATAATCTGGCCAGTTTTGAGGACAACTGATTAGCAGATAGTTGAGGAGACAGGCCATAGTTTAAAGAAAATGTCATGTAATGATGGAGTTCTACGCATGTCTTTCCATGCATCCTGTCTCCACCTCAACCCCCTCTTCTCACCAGGAAGTCAGCTAAATCTCTACTCCTAAGCTGGCCTCGCGTAGACTCAAGGCAAATCTCACCATCTTAGACGGACTTTGCCCCTATATACAACTACAAATTCATTTTTAATCTTTAAACAACTCACCAGCTACCACACCTCTTACTACCAACAGTTATCCCTTACGATGATTATGATGAGTGTCACTCAAAGGCTCATGTGTCAAAACTTCATCACCAGGGTGGCAGTGTTGGGAGGTCCTGTGGACCTTCAAGGGGTGGGGCCACTTGAGAGAATTTTAGATCACATATGGTATAACTTAAGGAAATTGTGGAGCCCCAGTTTCTTTAGTTCTCTTTCCGATTTCTAGCATAAGGTGTGAACATTGGCTCCAACATGGATTCCTGGTATCATGTGCAACCATCACCAGAGGCCCAAACAACTGGAACCACCTGATCTTGGACTTGAATCTCCCTGACTGCAAGCCAAGACAAACTGTTCTACTTTATAAATATTCTGTGTCAGGCATTTTGTTACCATGATACACGGTTGACGGATACATCCCCAAATCCAAGTTGGCATCTCAGAAATCAAACTTGTCAATATAAGAGAGGAAGAAAATTACTTATGGGAAAAATATTCTGAGTTAAATGAACAAGGTGAGAGGGTGGAGATATCTCTTCAAGAGAATAAAGAAAATCTTATAAAATATGCCTCCACTAAGCTCATGCCTGTAATCCTAGCTACTCAGGAGGTTTAGAATCATGATTCAAGTCTGTGAAGCCAAGTCTATGAGACTCTTATCTCAATTAATCATCAAAAAAAAAGTCGGAAGTGGAAGTGTAGCTCAAGTGGTAGAAACCCAGGGATAGCACCCAGGCCCTGAATTCAGACATGTGCTTGAACACAAATGCTTCCATTCTGTAAATCCACACTCTCTCTTAAAGGAAGATGTTATATACTGCAAGAAGGCAAGTTTTGCCAAAAAAAAAAATGTCCTCTGAAACTCGATAAAACATTCTAATCAAATCACAAAAGGCCAGCATTTGGTTTTTAGTTGTTTTTTTCTTTATGATTCCTTCCTCGTTGTTATGGTTTGGATAAGTGTCAAATTCCTATCCATTCCAAGCTAGAATTTCTATTGGGAAATCATGGAACCTCTCAAGAGATGGTGCCTCACAGAGGGGAACCCTGTCAATTCACTAGAGATGGACTGTTGGGGGGCATATTGGGACCCCAGACCCTACTTCTTCTTTTTTTTGGGGGGGGGGGTCCAGTCATGGGGCCTGAACTCTGGGCCTGGGTGCTGTCCCTCAGCTCTTCAGCTCAAGTCTAGCTCTCTACCGCTTGAGCCACAGCGCCACTTCTGGCTTTTTTCTTTTTGCTTATGTGTTGCTGAGGAATTGAACCCAGGGCCTCATGCATGCAAGGCAAGCGCTCTACCACTGAGCCACCTTCCCAGCCCCAAAGACCCTACTTCTTCTATGTGAACAGTTTTGTCATGGATTGCTGCTAAAATGTGCCACCCCTCCACCAGTCCAAATGCAGTTTGACCAACCAATTGTGACTGAAACCTCCAAAACTCTTAGCTAAAATAAACCTTTTCTCTTCCTAAAGCTATCATTTTGGGTATCAGTTGCAGTAATAGGATGCTGATTAAAATACTCTATTTTTCTCTCCTCCCTGGTACAACCCTTAAATGGAACCATGGTTAGTTCTCCCTGGAATTCTGACATTGAAAGTCAAGACCAAGAGCCGATAGGACTTACTGATGGGGTATGGAAAAAGCTGTTGACGTTAGTATCCCAGTTTCTACCATCTCAATAGCTTGCTTCATTTCCAGCTTCTTATACAGAGAAACAATGCTTGATTTGGGCTGGTTCTTTCGAATTAGGATTTTCCGTAGATACCTATGATCAAATTTCTTAAACCTAAAATTGAAAACAACATTTTGGAAATCTTTAATCTCTTTATATATCATGTAAACATATTTTTTTTCCTTAAAAACAAGCTACGAGTGAACTTTACTCTGAAAAACATCAACATTGGAATTCTTAGCATTTGAATAGATTCTCCAAAAAACGTATAGTACTTACACATTTTTTTAAAAAAGAAAGAAATAATGGCCTGCTTGCCTGAATACGTTGAAAAATGAGTAACAGAAAAAAGGGACAAACTGCAATTAGGACCAAAAGTGTGCCTCAGTGTGAAGCAAGGGAGACTGAGGCTTGCTCAGAGCCAATTGTAAGGGAAGAAATGAAGGGGGCTTTTGAACAAGTGTTCCATTCTAATAGCTCATAACAACAGTGGTTGTACTTACAGTAATGTTGCCTATTCAAGCAGAACCCAGTAAGTTTAAATAGGCTGGTAGTTACAGTAGTTTTACTCCATTATGTTCAGATCACTTTGAATCTTGCCAATTAAGGAGGGAAAGAAAGCCCACAGACATCCCCAAAGTCTGAATGATGGAAACTCTGAATAGGCTAAACACTGAAGGCCACTGACTATTGTAGCAAACTTCTGGTGAGCCCCTTAGTCTGAGCTGTATGCATGCATGTGTCACCTGTTCAGAGTTGGACATTTGTTTGGAGTTGGAATTTTCAACATTTCTAATCATGTTGTATGGAAAGAGTAGTTTGTTTCCTGCATTATTTCCTGGAAAGAAACATGGCTTGCTGGGCTGTTGGTATTCTTATCTGGTATTTGGCTTCTTGGACTATTAGGTGAACAGACGCTGTCTATTATGTCTTCTACAAGTGTGGCAGGCAGACCTCCTGACCTCCATGATCTGCTGGGCTCGATCATACCTAATACTTTTTTCAATTAGTAACCCCCCCTTGGCCCTGGTGTTCCTCAGTCCACTATGATCATCTCCCTCTTCTTCATAATATGTTAAACATTCTTCCTGCTGAGCATACTTTACCTTGTGCTCTTCAAGCCCAATGTCTGTCATTATCTGACCCTACACTCAATCTGTTATTCCTCAGTGCCTTCCACATGTCCTCACTCTTGCTTCCCCCCGACCCAGCCTTCCTGACTCCCTTCTCTTGTCTTCTCTACCTTCCCTCTGCCTAATCTACATGATTCAAAGCTTCTCAGAGTTCTGTATTTAGTCAGCATCTTCTCTTCAGATCCCTGTCATAATCTCACACATGCCCATGACAGTTGCTACCAACCACTTAGTAATAACATGTCTTTGTCACTAGATACCTCTTTCTCCATGAGTCTAAGTCCAGGAAAAAAAAAACATATCAGTTTAGAAATCTGAGATGTGGCAAAGAAGAGGGATTTGGATGTTTTAAAAAATGGTATCAGGGTTTGAACTCAGAGCTTTGTACCTAGTAGGCAGGCACTCTACCACCTGAATCACTCCTTCAGGTCGTTTTTACATTATTTATTTTATAGGTAGGATCTTACGTTATGTTCAGTCTGAGTTGTGATCCTCTTACTGTGTTTTCCTTTGTCTTTGGGGATGACATATATGAGCCACTCGGCCCAGCCATTGTAGATCCTCTGTAGCTGGGATAACAGGCATGCCCCACAGCTCACAGCTATTGGTTGATGTAAGTCTTGTGGAGTTAATGCCCAGATTATCCTCAATCCCCTGATCTTTGCCTCCCCAGAAGTTAGGATTACAGAATTCATCCCCTGAACTAGGTGGATTTGAAGATTTTTGAAGAATACTTATATGAGAAGACCCTTACATCTTTCAAGGTGTCCTCCACAGTAATGGAATTCCCACCCCAGCAATTCTGCATGAGTTACTGAACTCCCTTTGCAATCTTACAGAGCTATTCATCCCATGGTTTGTCTGCTTTTATGATGGAGAAACTAGTCCTGGATTTAGACTTAAGTATGATTCTTCTATTTCCCTTCAATCGTTTTACTATTTTTCTCCAATGCAACTTTAACCATGACTATAGCCTTCTCTGCCTGACAAATCTTGTTTTTCAGGTTAGGCATGTCTAAGACTAACTGCTTACTATATGGCATGGTTTAGGGGGCATTTTTTTCCTGGCCTCCTTGGAAAGTTCACTATGCCACAAATATCCTTCAAAGGGGTAGTCATGAATCCCTGGTCCCCTTACTTGTCTCTCACTTGGTAGTGGCTCCATTGCCCACACACATCTTCAATTCCAGCTTTCAAATGATCCATCAACTGCCAAAATAAACATAAACAAATGGTTCCTGGTAAAATGCAAGCTCTAAAAACACAGAAGAAAAGTTAATATACTTTGGAAGCTAAAAAAGTCTTTCATTTACTTAAGAATATCTTCATTTCTATCTAGTCACATAACTAAAATATTGTATGCTTTTTAGAGTAATTCAACCTAGTTTCATTATTGATTCTTTAGATAATCCTCTTGATAGATCACGTAGGGTGTAGTGAAGGTAGGGTATCTGGAATTGCTTTGAACAATACTTTTCTAGAATGGTCAAGAAAATTTCTCATTACAGATATTGTTGAATAGAAAGTCTAATCATTAATTATTTTAATTAATTTTAATTTCAATTAATTTTAATTTCAGTTCCCAAACATACATGCCAGCAATCTAGTTTTTACAGTTTCTTAAAATATAGTTCTGCAGATATTTTATTATAATAACATACAATAAGAAATTTTATTCTATTGCCAAAATTATTTGTCTTGGTACTTAGAATTCAAAATTCAAGCCAATTATACTACAAATTTTATTCAAAATTGTTTCTAATATATAGGTTATATTAATATAGTATAATTATAATGTTAAATATAAGATTTCACATAATCTTAAAATAATTACAAATTATACTATAAACAACTTATATTAGAAATAATTGAAGTTTATATTGGCTTATAAAATTTTTTGCAACTAGATTAAGACACAAAATTATTCTTTAAGTACTTAATTCATCGACTGTCTTCTACTTATGGTGTAACTTTTTAAGGAAAAGTTAAAGATAAAGCATAATGGAGTGAAAAGTTGAAGATGAACAGATTTTTCAAAATAATACAATTTTCAGAATAATTAACCTGAAGAGATATAGGAAATGATAGAGACAAAAATCTACAACCAAATTGTTATATCTTTCAAAACAACTTATTCCTCATTCTAATCTGTTAAACATTTTCAAGTGACATTACATTAGAAAGGTGGCTTAGATCTTTTGGAATTTGAATTATTTTATTTACTCAGAATATTAGGGCTGAGTTAGGAAAATTCCATCAATTTCTTCAAGATTAGAATTATAAACCCCTAGGGACAGAAGAAACCTAAAAATTACCTGGTTCTGTTACCCTCTTAGAACTTGAATGGCAAAAATACCAAGTGTTTGAGTCATTATTTGCATGCATTCATTTCATCTTTGGGTGTGCCAATCAAGAAATAATGGAGAGAAAACATATGTTCTCTCTCTTTCTCTCTCTCTCTCTCTCTCTCTCTCTCTTAAAAATTAATTCTATTCCTGGAAGCCATACAGACTGTCAATATTGTGTTCAAATCAGAAAAACAAGTAGAACCCATGCTCAATTTCATATTCAACTTTAGTTTTTCTTTTTGTTGTTGTTGTCTATATCAAAAACTGTCAGTAGGCCAGATCTATAGAAGTAATAACAGCTGTACACATTCTCTGTTAGAAACTCAGAAAGAAGCCAGGCACTGGTGGTTTACATCTGTAGTACTAGTTACTCAAGAAACTGAAGATCACAGTTTGAAGACAGTCCAGGTAGGAAAGACAATGACACTCATATCTCCAATTAACTACCAAAAGAAGCCAGAAGTAGAGCTCAAGTGGTAGAATATTAGCCTTGAACACAAAAGCTCAAAAACAGTGCCCAGACCCTGAGTTCAAGTCCCAGAACTGGCACAAGACAAAAAAAGTTTGAAAAGAGCAAAGGACACCATATTCCCGTAGAAAAATAATTTTAGAAGCTTGGAAAGTGGTTACTGTGACTTATTCTGAGCTATTCAGCCTAACTACAAATTTCCCCATTATTCAAACAATAATCTAGAATATATGCAAATAGATGGAAATATATAACTATAGATCTAAATGAGTAGAGTCCATAATCATTATCTAAAATAAGGGAGCTTATCTGTATAAATGAGTGGCCCTTATTTGGTCACTTGAAAGTCTTTTCAGAACAGAGCCATGGTTTTGAGGGAAGCTGTTTTAGCATACACCAGACAGGTCTAGCCCACCCTCCTTGCTAGTTTGTCCTAAAGATTTTAGACTTGCCAGCTTGCTTCGACAGGAGTCTAAAATCCCTCACACAAAACTCTTCATATATTTTCTATTGATTCTGCTTCCCTATTGAACCATTAGTGAAACACCACTATGTTGAAGTGAAAAGAGTCAGGGAAGGACAGGATGAAATAAGACTGTTGGACCCCAATATTTTTAAAGCAAGAAAATGGCTGACATCTAAGATATTGGGATATAGTGAATGTATTCTGCATATGTTACAGATATGAATCTCTGAGGTATAGAGGGAAAGACATGAAAGGCAGAATAAAGACTTCCCAAATATATTCACATTGAAATTTGAAGACCTGTAAACATACTGTGAGTATATGCCAACCAACGTGAAGGTAACCAATGTACTTACAGTTGTTAATCAACTAATTTTAAGAAAGAGAAAATATCCAGATTTACCTACGTGGACCCAAGTGCAATCACAAAAGCCATTTGATGTAGAAGAAGAAGGCAGAAGAGCCTTTGTCATAGTGATACAGTGTTAGGGAGACCTGATCTATTATTATTTGCTTTGAGATGAAAAGGGACATAGGCTAAAGAATACAGAGACTGTAGAAGCTGGAAAGTGCAAAAGAAAGCAAGAAGGAAGGAAGGAAGGAAGGAAGGAAGGAAGGAAGGAAGGAAGGAAGGAAGGAAGGAAGGAAGGAAAGAGAAAAAAAGAAAGAAAGAAAGAAAGAAAGAAAGAAAGAAAGAAAGAAAGAAAGAAAGAAAGAAAGAAAGAAAGAAAGAAAGAAAGAAAGAAAGAAAGGAAGGAAGAAAGAATAGATACTTCCCTAAAGCCTCCAGGTAGGAATGCAGCCCTGCAAAATCTTGATTGAGCCAGGCGCTGGTGGCTCATGCCTGTAATCATAGCTACTCAGGAGGCTGAGATCTGAAGATCGAGGTTCAAAGCCAGCCTGGGCAGGAAAGTTCGTGAAACTCTTATCTCCAATAAACCACCTGAAAACCGGAAGTGGTGCTATAGCTCAAGTGATAGAGTGCTAGCCTTAAGGTGAAGAGCTGAGGGACAGCGCTCAGACCCAGAGTTCAAGCCCCATGACTGACAAAAACAAACAAAAAAAACAAAAACAAAAAAAGAATATGAGATTATGTATCTGTGCTGTTTGAAGCCACAAATCATATGTTCATTCCCTCCATCAGCAATAGAAGACTAGTTCAGTGACTTAGTAGAGTCAAGGAATACCTATTTACCAGTCCTGTGACGTATACACAAGTTTTTTCAAGGCTCTGGAAGGTAACCAGAAACATGAACTCATTAGTTATGATAAAGATCTTACCCGAATATGAAGTTCTTCATTGATGGATTCTTTTTTATTGGTCTTTCTGACATCCAGGTACCTGACCAGAGGGCCAATTGTGATTCCCTAGGCCATGAATGACAACAACAACAATAGTGATACTGAGGACAGGATAACACTATGGGGAGAGTATCTAATATCAAACCCATTAGACCATCCAATTTGTATGTCATTGTTGCTACTGGTATAGTAACTCCTACTCCAAAATACTTCAATATTTACCTTAGTAATTATTTTTAATGCTACAATGATATATGGATCATGGTATATATAGTATATTTATATATTATATGTATATTTATGTATAATATATTTGTGTATCATCATATCTTATATATCATTAATATGTAAGATATTCATGTATTATGATATATACATATATACCATGTTCTATATGTTCTATATATTAATAGAGAAACTTCTTTTCATCCATTAAAATAATCTTTTATTAGTTCACTAACAACTAACTCAAGCTAAAACAAAACAAACTGCTATCAAGTACCAAATAGCGTCTTGTTTTCAAAGACAGACAGTAGCAATTACCTATCACCCAGAAATACTTTGATAAATATGCATTAGGAAAGATAGCAACTTAGAAGTTAAACATTGTCCATGAATATGACATACAAATATCTGAGAATTTTGTTTAAATATTCAACACAGTTCTAAAAACCAGATCAATAGATTCTAATTATATTCCCCTAATTTAATCCATCTTCCTGAAAGAACCTACTTATTTTTAATATGAAACAAATCTACCAACCTGAAAAAACACAGTAAAGTAGATAACTACTAAAGTGGCAGTGACAAACAGTTTCTTCCTAGGGAAAAGAGGCAGAGGAAGCAAAAATGCAAGAGAAAAACTCCCAGCTCCTCGCACACCACTGTAGAAAATTATGAACTGGTCTTTGATGGAGAAGGGGAAAGTCCGAAACTGGTTACTGACATAGAAGAGAGCAAATACACCTAGAAAGGGGAAATACGGATTAGAGCTGGGGGCAATAGATAGAGATTTTGTGCTAATGAACCCTAGTCAAGAACACCTGCCCTCCAGACTAGGCCATCTGATTCCTTCACACACCCAAGATGACTCATCCCAGTAGGAGTCTTTCTAGGCTCTTCATTTTGGCTGGTTTGAGACAATAGTGTCTCAATATGGAAGTCATCTCTGGTAGTCTCCCAGAACATGCTTGTGTGTGTGTGTGTATGTGTGTGTGTGTCTGTTTAAAGTTATACAATCTTTACTCTTTACAGAGATGTATATTTCTTATCTATATTCATGAAAACCACTTAAAGTGAGAATGTTTAGGGGGTATAAACATTCATATCCCTCAGCTACAGGATTATGGAATTAGGATTGGATAGTCACTTAAGTCAACGAAGTTGAAGAGTACATTGATTCCCTCCTAGACAATTTATTTTCTTGTTGGCTGGGATGAAGGTCTTTAATGTTACTTCTGTGTCTGTGTCTCTGTGTGTGTGCGCACACGCACCTCTTTACTGTCTCTGAGATTTTTTTGCTTAAGGCTAGCACTCTACCACTTGAACTACAGCTTCACTTCTGCCTTTTTGGGTGTTTAATTAGAAATAAGAGCCTGTCAGACTTTCTTGCCTGAGCTGGTTTTGTATTACAATCCTCAGATCTCGACCTTGTGAGTGGGTAGGACTTCAAGTATGAACTACCATGCCTGACTGTTACTTCTTTTTTATATATTAACCCTATTTTCCTACAGATTTTTATACAGAATTATATAATCGAAAAAATTGTCTAAGTCTATTAGTTTTGGGTTGAGAAAGATGTGTGTGTGTGTGTGTGTGTGTGTGTGTGTGTGTGTGTGTGTGTGTGTGTGTGGTCATGGGGCTTGAACTCTGGGCCTGGGTGTGCTGTCCCTCAGCTCTTCAGTTCAAGGCTAATGCTCTACCATTTGAGCCACAGTGACACTACCAGCTTTCTGGTGGTTTATTGAAGAGTCTCACAGACTTTCCTGCCTGGGCTGGCTTTGAGCCACTATCCTTAGATCTCAGCCTCCTGAGTAGCTAGGATTACAAGAGTGAGCCACCAGTACCTGGCTTGAGAAAGATTTTGAATGATAAATTTTTGTCCAGGTTCACATAGCTAGCTGTCAGTAAGCATTGCCAGGATTTGATTTGATATTTTAAATTTATACCAGTGTCCTTAATTTTCTTTCCAGAAGAGATAGATAGTTATGTTTATGAGTATTTAATTGTTTTATATTCTATTTTTTCCACCTTAAAAGCCATGCCAAATTAATTTGGAGTGGATAGAGTCCACATGAGTTCTCAGTCACTTCTAACTTCTTTTTGAGTAACTGGTTTAAAATTATTGGTCAAAGTCATTTAAAAACATTATGCCAAAGGTTCATACCAGGAATCTTAGCTACTCAGAGGCTGAGTCCAGAGGATCAAGGTTTGAAGTCAGCCTGGGCAGAAAAGTCTTCAAGATTCTAGCTCCAAAATAACCAGCAAATGTTGGGCTAGAGGTATGACCCAAGTGAGAGTTCCAGCCAAGCAAGCAAACTGAACAAGTCAGTATGCTGAACAAGTAAGAAGGCCTGATTTCAAACTCCATTATGGAAATAATAATATTAAAGAAGATTAACAAGAATAAATAATAGCTACCCATCAAAAGACAATATGTGCATTGTACTTCAATGCTTTTCTAGCTACTGAAACATAAATGTACAGGATAAAACAACAGCCTCATTTTAAAAAAGTAAGCACAGATCTCACTTAAACATTAAGCATATTTTCCAAGACTGAGGTCAGTTACATTACATTTGCTTTTACCAACTAATATGATTATTAAGAGCAAAATATTTTAAAGATGATTCAATGCTTGGTCTTTTGTTTGATATATATATATGTATATACATACATATACATATATATGTATATGTATGTATATATATGTATATACATACATATACGTATATATATATGTGTGTGTATATATATATATATATATATATATATATATATATATATATATATACATCATGCATTTAGCCCTAAACTAGCTATGCTATTTAAGGAAATATATTCCAGCATGTGTGAGATCTCACTTATCTCTAATAAAAGTGTAAGTGCCCATGGTTTATATTCTAAATCTGATTTAAGGTGTAAGAGGCTACAAATTGGCAAGGAAGTGAAGAGCTAGGGATATGTTTACTGAGTTATATTTAGATGTGTAGATGTGAAAGTTCTCTCCTCAATTAAAGTAGTCAATACTCCTGTCCCAGCCCACATCAGACTAGCCAGCCACTGATCACTTTGAGTTGCCTGAGGATACAAATGGAGAACTGTTCCATTTTCTGATCACTACCTAGTACTAGAATTCCTTTATCTGTTAAACAATTTAGCATGAATCCCTCCTGAAGTTTTTCTGTTGCCCTAGTGAATAAGCTACTGAAGAAGCCAAGCAAGTGAAGAGTCTTAGGGGCACCGTGGCTCTTACTGATAGCTCTCCATATCTGGCAGAAGACCAATGTGAAGCAGATGAAGGCCCAGTTCCACTCATGGTTCTTCCCAATGGTGGACACACCCATGAAGATGAAGATCAAGGTCTCGCTGACACTGCTCAGCATCTTCATGAAGTACTTGATGGTAGTGTAGGATGTTTGGGATACATTCTCTTCTACATACTTTTTCATTGTCACTGCACAGGCTGTGATCCTACCAAAGGAGTAGAGTATAAGTCTTCCCCAATGGCAGTGCCACAAATATATGATGAACGACTTTGTACGGTATCCGTGTCTCCTCCAGACTCCTTCTCTGACTTTGGTTTCCCATAGATTGTTTTTCTCTTATTTTATCCCCTAAGATCTCTACAAAGGAAAGTGAGTGTGGTAGGAAAAGAGGGTGTGGTATTCCTGTCACAAAATGAAACAAAACAAAAGCCAACCTGGACAAGAAGCATAAAGCTATCTTCCTTTCCTCCTTTATAGAGAGCTTCCTCAGCCCCAAACCTCGCTCTCTGCTTCACTCTGCCTTAAGCTAAATGAAACCCACTTCAGTTGGATACACAACATAATCCAGGCCTTTGCTTTCTCCAACCAAATAGTACTTCTTACAACAAGATTATGACATTTAAAAAAAACTTCAAGCAAATATGGGATCAAGGAAATCTTTGTCTGGTCTTAGCAGTTTGGGTCTTTTTAAGGTTGGAAATAATAGATATTTATACTTCAAATTATTATATTTTAGTTGACATAAATAATCCTATACATTAAAATTAAACATTTGGCTCAGATAGCTAGAAATAAGGAAAGTGTCATAAAGAAACAATATAATCAGATATGATCAGCTAAACTGAGAAGCTTTGTTCTAAAAAAATAAAATCTCAACCATGCAAGGATAAAATCTAAATGAATACCTTCTTTAGAACAGAGAAACTTAGATTTATAGTCTTATCCCATCCACCTAGCTTTACTCTACATTGAAGACTCATGGACTGCATCTTCTCCCTTCTACTTGAAAATTAATTTTTTCCCCACAAATGTATTAAGATGGGTTCTGACCTTGATCTTCTCCTAGCTTCTCTGAACCAGCTTTTCTGAGCAGTCTAAATTGACAGTATAATTGCTATGCATTTCTCCAGCACATCACACAAAAACAGCCAGCCCAAGTGTTGGAGAGAACATTTGTTTGGCAATAGGCCTGAATCAGATTTCACAAAAATTAAAAAGAGAAAAAAAAATCCTAAATCCTGCCAAGCCTCTGGTGATCAGCATCAGAAACCAGGCCCTTTCTAGAATCATAGTTCACCTGATGTGTCCTACATTGTCCTTATCTTACTGTGTGTCTTGATTCTTGTACTCACGCCAGGATGCCAGAGAGATAGAGCGTTTCAGCTGCTAAGTAAGACAGATAGCTGAACATGAAGACGATGAGTGGTTCGATTGCAGAGATGTTCTGAGTGAAACGGGTGATAAATGCAGAAATAAATCCAAAAATGATGCCAAAAAATACTCCCCCACACCCCACGATGACGAATCGAGCACATCCAGCCAAAATGTCGACAGGTTCAATGTCTTCAAATTTATGCATCTTTGTGAAGGCGATTAAGATATTGTATAAGACCTATATATGCACAGAAAAAGAAGGAAATAAACTTAGAAATTTAAAATATTTTTCACACTCATTCTCAACTTTGGATCTGGTTAAATTTTACACAATTATAAATTACATGACAAATATCCATGTGGTAACTGAACTTTTCAATGCATGCCAAATAGTTTAGATATATTCAGATTCACTGATTAAAAAGAATAGTCAAAGCCTCCCAAAACTGAGCACATGATAAATGTTTAAGATAGAAACACAAATAACTCTGCTTTGATTATTACTATTGTACATGTGTTCTGCATTGCTTTTGTACCTCATACATATTAGTGAAAATATTAACGATATAAATATGCTAGTATCTTTGCATAGCTCCCTGTATCAGCTCACTGATTGCCTTGACAGTTCCAGTGCACCCTTTCTTGTGTGCTGTATAATAAATATTGCACTTCCTTCAAGTATTTTTTCCTTTAAAGTGAATGCCGTGTTATATTCTCTTAAGTAGAATGGACAGAAGGAACACTGAAATAGAAAGTCATTTCTTGGACTTTTCTAGGTCAGCCATGTGGGATGTGAGGATTCTGGTAGTAGACTGCACCAAAGCCACCGACCCTTGAGACCAATTCCTTTGCAAACTTACAGCTTTGACTTAGTAATAATCTGCCCACTGATATGTAGCATGTCTGTGGCTTTGGGGTACATCTCAGTAGTGTTCTCTCTGCAAGCCATCATCTCCTCCCCTGCATGAATATCTCTCCTCTGAAGACCCTCTGCCTCTCGGAGCCCAGGATCCCACTGAACCAGGAATTGCTGATGTCCAGCCCCACCTGCCTTCCAGAGGGTAGTCTTTCATTTGTCCAGCTCTCCAGACCAGCTCTCACCTGGCTAACCTGGTCCCCTTCTCTGCCAGCCAGAGGTGATCACCTTCCTCAGTGGTATCTGTACCAATATAAGCCTATTTCTTTAAGGGCCTAAGAATCACAAAAATATCTCCATGTCTATTAATTGCTACCTTGTTATAGTGAATAAATTTTATATTGTTTTTTTTCTCTCTAAATTATGATGTTGTTTTCCTTTCTGAATTAAACAACCTTGTTATAATCTCCACATATGGACAGTCCCTTAGGTGTGGATGTAGCTTAGTAGTAGTAGAGCAACTTGACCCTCAGTTCAATGTAATTTAATTCAAATTTTTAAAAGTCTATGTATTGGATTGTTATCTCATACCCTGTGCATGTGCATTTATGCTTTGGCTTTACCAAAACTAAAGATGATGTGGAAGATATCTACACTTTGTAGAGGCCATACTTTCGTTTTTAATCCAAATCTTTTCCTGGGATAATGATGTGCAAATCTTACAGTTCTGATCAGTGGTAGTGCCTAAGTATCCATGTAACATGAGGAAAAGCAGGTGACACCCCAGTGCCCTGTGGTATTGGGTTAGGATGGTCCGGGGTGATGTATATTCACAGCCAATGATAGGCTTATCAGGAGGTCACACCACTGTAAGTCTAGGAACATCTCTGTATCAGCTCATTGAATGCATAACCCTAGTCCATGTAATAGACACAATTAATTTTCCTATTTCCATTTCTTATTTTCAACACCCATTTTGAAATTACAGAGATCTGTCTGTCATTGTTTTATGTCACTCTGTAGCCTGAAACTCAGTTCTAGCTTCTGGAAAGTAGAAGCAAACACAGATGATGAAACATGAAAAATGAAAAAGGGGCCAGGAATAGTAGCTAATGTCTATAATCCCACTTGTTTTAGAAACATAGGAAGATTATATTTCTAGTCCAGGTTGGTGGTAGGAAGATAATGAGACCCTTTCTCAAAATCTGAGAAGTGCCCTATGATCTAGCATTTCTACTCCTGGGAATTTATCCAAAAGATTACAAACCAGGATATAGTGAAGCCAACAGCACACCCATGTTCATTACAGTACTATTCATTATAACTAAGGTATAGAATCAGACTAGATGCCCCTCAATGGACAAATGAAAAAAGAAAATATGCTATATATACACAATGGATTTTTACTCACTCATTAGAAAGAATAATATTGTACTATTTGTAAAAAAAAAAAAGAAGAGGGGGAAAGTCTTGGAGAAAATTATATTAAGTGAAGTGAGTTGGGCTGAGAGAGACAAAAGTTACATGCTTTCTCTCATATGTGGAAGCTAGATTTAGCCTATAAACTTATAAGTAAATTAGTTGGGTGGAAGGCAAATATATACAAATGTATTAACTGAAATCTGGTAGATTCAAGGAAGAACTCAAATAGTATAATACAACAAAATTCAGAATTTAACAAAACTAAAAACCAGGAAGCAGGTACTTGAAAGGGTGAGGTCAGAACAAAAGGGATAGGAAAAATGCAGTCAAGAATTCAATTTATATATATCCTATACTTAATTTTGTGTGAAAGAGAGGATAAGATGGAAAGGATGCTGAAAGGAGTGACACTGATCAAGATATGTTGTGTTCATAAACTGCTTTGTTAAATGGCAACTCCTTGGTCAAACTATTTATAGATCATGAAATAAATTCATTAATAAAAAGAAAGCCAAACATGGTGGTACATACCTGTGATGTTAGTTACTGAAAGCTCAGATTACATACTGAGCTAGTCTAGGCATTGATGTGACATCCTATCTGAAAAATAAACTGAAGTCAAAAGGGATGGGAGCCTGGCTCAAGTGGTAGTTCACTTACCTGGCAACTTCAAGGCCCTAAATTCAAGCCCCAGAAAACAAATAACAACAATATAACCAGATGACCAAGATACCTACAGGAAAGAAAGCCTTTTGAGAATACCAGGCCCTTAAGAATCCTGAAAAACCACAACATGTATGTGTTGGCCTTTGTTTACCCAGGAAAACTAAGAACATGAGGACAGAGGGCAGAAGATACAACTGACAGAAAACAGTCCATCTGTGTGTGTTTTGAGTGTTACAAAGCTACAGGAAGACTACTGTGGACCCTCTGTGAGAGAATGGGTGGAGACCCCTCATTCCTTCACTGACTCCTGCTGTAGCAGCATACCTCATCTGGCTCACAGTTCTAGAAGCTGGGAAATTCACTAGCGTGGCATTTGCATCTGGTGAGGGTTCCATGCTGTGTAATAACACTACAGGAAGGGCAAGTGAGGGCATGAGACAGAGAGAGAGGGGAGGAGGCTCTCAAACTTACTACAACCCGTTCCAGATAACTAACCCGGTCTTGTGATAATTGTGTTAGTCCACCTATGAGGTCAGATCCAGTCACTTCTTAAAGGTGATGGTATGTCTTAATATCATTAAATAATACTGAATGTTGTTAAATTTCTACATGAATTTTAAGGGGACATTCCAACCATAGCACCCAACTTCAGATTTCAGTTAATACATTTGTATATACTTGCCTACCACCCAACTTATTTACTTATAAGTTTATAGGCTAAATCTAACTTCTACATATGAGAGAAAGCATGTAACTTCTCTATGTGTCTCTCTGTCTCTGTCTCTGTCTCTCTGTCTCTCTGTCTCTCTGTCTCTCTGTCTCTCTGTCTTTCTGTCTCACTGTCTCTGTCTCTGTCTCTCTGTCTCTTTCTTTCTCTCTGTCTCTGTCTCTCTCTGTGTCTCCCTGTCTCTCTCTGTCTCTCTGTCTCTTTCTCTGTCTCTCTCTCTGTCTCTCTCTCTCCTCCTCTCTTTCTCTCTCTCCCTGTCCATCTCCCTCTTCCTCTCTCTTTCTGCCCCCTGGATTCCCCAGGCCAGAGCCTTCTTCTCTACTCTTTATTCGGTAATTGGAATCACTCAGGGCCACCTCTGTTCTTCCTTGTGGCTTGATAGCTTACGAGTTCTGCTTCAGCTTCACCTACGTGGCTTTCCAGAAGTGCTTGCTATTTGTGCGGTACTGACTCTCTGACCATGGTCTACAGCCTGCAGACTGCCATGGCTATTTCTTCCCAGCTCTTTCCTGGTCCTCGCCCTTTATATCACCTTTTTGGCAAAAGTGTTGATTTCTCACAGAGTGAGATTTACAACAACGATCTATCATCTGCAAGAGCCATGCTTAGACTGCTGTCTGAAGTACATTAAAATCACAGCTCCTTTCCATCTCATTTTTCCTAATTCTAGGGATGTCTCATATTTGCTTGAGAGCTGTTTTCTGTACAGACAGAAGCAGAAGAAGTAGATGGTCTAATGGAATAGGTCTCCTGCTGTAGAGGACCCCTAGGTCACCATGCATAGTGTTTGTGGGTTTTTTTTTTTGTCTATCCACATGCATCTACAACATGAGTCCTGGCTTTATAATGTGAGTTGAGAGAGAGAGAGAGGAGAGAGAGGAGAGAGAGAGAGAGAGAGAGAGGGAGGGAGGCAGAGAGGAAGGGAGGGAGGGAGGGAGGGAGGGAGGGAGGGAGGGAGGGAGGGAAAGAAATAGAAGGAGAGAGAGTTATTCCTTAAGTAACTCGTGTCACCTGCCCTCATCTAATATACTTCACCGCTAAGGGACTCTGCTAGTAGAGAAGGGAGGACACAAGTGGGTGCATGTGGCACAGGCTTTTGGGCCACAGGTACCTCTGTGCTACAGCTTTGCCATCCTGACTGTTGTGCTCATTTTCTAGGGCTGGTGTAACAAAGTGCCACAAGCTCCATGGCTGCTATGATCAGAACTTCTTTCTCTCACTGTTCTGGAGACCAGAAGTCTAGAGTCAGCATTGTCAGGACCGCACTGCACTCCTTCTGATGGTATAAGACAGAAGTCATCTTTCCCTCTTCCTACTTTCTGGTGGTTGTTGGTCTCTAGCCATGATGGATTACAGGTCTGAAGGCTTCTTTCTCTGTCCTTTCTGATCTGGCCTAGGTTTGCTGTTAAGGTAAAGTTGACTTTATGAAAGATTTGAAAGGCGATCCTACCTCTATAATCTAATATATAATAATATATAATGTAATATAATAACATACTTGAAAGATGAGAAACAATCATCATTTCTTCCTTAAGATACATGATTTAGAATTGTTGTTATTCTTATT